ATATAAATAAAATAAATGTTTTAAATTTTTTTATGATAAGTTTTTTTTTATTAAAATAAAACATTAAGCGGTTTTCCACATAACTTCTTTAATAACTTTTTTTTTAATTATTGAATATTTAACGTATCTTCAATCTAGTACTTATATGAGGCACTCAATTCTAAAGTGGATCAAGTCCAATATTCATGTTATTGATAAATTGAGTTAAAGTTTATTTGCTTTGGCCAGTTCTTTGATTCGGCCATCAAAAGATTTCTCATTCAGCACTGTTACAAAAAGGCGAATTTAAATTTAGGTTATGATCTCAGAACTTCAGCTATATTAATTAAAGCAAGAATTTAAATTGAACTTAAAATTTGGGATTGATCCACTTTAGAACTAAATGCCTTATATATAAATAGGTTTTTTGACACTCTTGCTTCAACCCTTCTTATTTTTAATAAGTTGGATTAGGCTAGAATTTTTTCAAAGTAGAGGTATAATATACTACTACTATATTTGCCCATGCATTCAATTTATTACATTGACTTAATTATTAAAATAATTAACGTATCAAATTAGATACAATAGGGAGATAGAATTAGATACAATAATGATAATAATAATAATAGATTATAATAGATAATAAGATGAATATTTTAATAATAGACTTAAGTTGACACATCCTTTCTATCTCTTCTATCTTCTCTTTTACATAATGTCGAACACTGGTGTTATGGATTTTATCAATACTCCAACTTTATCAATAATTATATAATTTATTATTTAAATCGTATAAAATCAATTGTATCAAATCTTGCCTTAATGTCTTAAATCATAAAGTAAATGTTTGCGTTGCATTTCATATTTTATTGTTTTTTGACACTGAAGATACTCTGATGTCAGACAGAAACGTTTGTTATTTGTGAGGTGTTTTTATAATATAATACAAATTTTATCGCACGAAAATCTGGCGTTTTGGCTCTTTACACTCCCTATCGTATCCAATTTGGTTGTTTAGTCAGCTGAGCTCTTATATATCCAAATTTTAAATAATTAATATAAGTAAAAAAAAGATTTGTATGAAAAAGTAAAAAAAAGGAAACATATAACGAAAAAATTCTAACATAAGAAAATAGTAAAAATAAAATTATTCCTGCATATTCCATTAATTTTCTTTTAATATACTATATAAAACACCTACTTTTTAGAACTACTTTCTTCAAAATTCATGTTTCCGTAATCGATACCAGCCCCACAATAATTCATACAAGCTCTTTTTTTAAATTGTGAAATTAATTACAAGATATTTAGCCAGAATGGATCACCCTGTTGTTCATGTCTCCTGGAATGATGCAATTGCTTACTGTAGTTGGATAGAAAAGAGATTGCCTACAGAAGCAGAATGGGAAGTTGCATGTCGTGGTGGACTTTCTGATAGACTCTATCCTTGGGGAAATAAATTGATGCCAAATAATCAACATAAGTAAGTTGAACTTATGCATATTTCTTCTGATTCTCTTATATGTATGACATGTCTTATAATATTCATTATAATATTTCAACAAGAATTCATATTTTATTATCCTTTTTAGAGTCAATATTTGGCAAGGTAATTTTCCTACAAAAAACACTGAAGAAGATGGATACAAAAGCACATCACCAATTACATTATTTCTGCAAAATAACTATGGTCTGCACAATATTGTTGGAAATGTTTGGGAATGGACGGCCGATTGGTGGATGACAAATCACTTACGTGATCGACAAACAAATCCTGTATTTATAATTTATTAAGAACTTAACAAATTTATATAACAAAAAATATATGTCATATTGTATTATTAATATTAGAAGTTAATAAATTAATATTAGAATTATTAAATATATTTTCAGACTGGTCCATCCAATGGTTCTGATAAAGTGAAGAAAGGTGGTTCCTATCTTTGTCACAAAAGTTATTGTCACAGATACAGGTGTGCTGCGCGTAGTCAAAATACACCTGATACATCATCTGGAAATTTAGGCTTTAGATGTGCTATGTCAGCATAAGGATTATATCAAATATTTAAAAGCAGAAAGTATGAAAATAAATATATAAATATACATATAAATATACAATATATAAATATATTGTAAATAAAATTGTATTTTCTTTATGAAACTGCAATGCGCTTTATCTATATAAAAAAATTTCTTATTTTTCGAATAAAAATTATAATAAGATATTAAAATACAAAATAAAGTTGTCTATATAGTGGTTTTTGGAGAAAAGTTTTTCTTTATAAATATAATAAAAAGTTGATATTTTTTGGCCAATATGACAAAATATTTTGATATTTCGTAGAGACTTTTAAACATTGAATACTATACTGGAATGCTCACTTAATATTAAGGGTATAATGATAGCCTGAATAGGTTCGAACAGATTTTATTTTTCAGAAAATAGTTATTAAATTTATGTGATTAAAACATATTTTTTATAATACTCAAAATTACACAAATGTAAACGTAAAAAGTTTGACAATAAAATTTAATATAGATATAAATTTAATTTTGGAGAATTACATTTGTTTTTACTCATATATCATGCATTTATGTAACTACAAGTATGATAAAAAGTATGTGTGTTTTCTCAGAAAAGTTTAATAATTATTTTCTCAAAAATAAAATCAAGTTGCATTTTATTCTGAATATGTACTTAATAACATAATTTTTATGATGATCTACATAGTTTACATTGTCTTGAAAAAAATCAATGTAAACATGTAAACAATACGTAAACAGTAAATGTCGTAATCTTGAAATCTGCGGCACAATTTTGCTATAAATGTATGGTGTAAAATAATACGAAATCAAATAATCGAACCTGTTTTATTTCTTATTGAAATATATTCTACCGATAACCACACGAGGATATTCGTTAATGCCGTCTGCATCGACTGTTGTTTAATTCGTGAGATATCTATTGTTGATTCACAAATTTCATTGAAAGCTTAGCGCCATCGCCGTAAGCGCTTTATTCATAACAGATGATGAATTTTGTGTTTTGATTGTTCATTTCATCAGAGTCATTTGAGAAGTATTTTAAATATGAAGAGAAGTATCTTGAAGATTATATATCTTTAATAATCGCAATTTGATAATTATTATGAACGCGATTACCGTGGTAGCAATATTGTTTCTTGTTGAATTGTGTTGTGGTACTTTGTCACCACCGACAGGAAAAAATAAAAGAGAGAAAGGAAAGAGTAACAATAAGGTAAGGTATTACAAAGAGTGTTTAGGCTTATAGATAAGTGAACAATTTCTTTTTATTTATAAATAATATTTCTCAAGTTGTCCAAGGGTCCTGTGGAGCAAGATGTTTTTCAAAGAAACTTGTTAGTTGAGAATCCTAAACAACAGGATATTCTTCGTGAATCAGGTCGATATTTTCAAGATACAAAGCATAGAAGATTTAAAGGAGATGTTTTGGGGTATTGTACACCTGTGAGTAAGCTATGCAACTAGTCTAGTGATATATAGAACTACAAGATACAAATTGATATAAAGATGTATTTATATTGAACGTAATTCGATTTTATAGTGGAATGGGAATGGATTTGAAATTTCAAAAACCTTTCATGGCAAGCTTACGATGGTATCTCCTGTATGGTTGTCCTTTCCTTTTGGCAACACGTCAACTTATCAATTGTCTACTCATTCTGTTCAAACTAAGTGGATAAAAGAAATGAGGAATTATAATAATATTAATCATGGTGTGAAACGTAAGTTAAAGATGATTGAAGTGAATAATTATAAGCCTACAATAATGTTATTACTTTTAGTTATGCCTAGAGTATTGTTTGAACATTGGTCCATTGATGACATTATGAAGATATACAGTAGTACAGAAAGCCAAACTCAATTAATAGTATCTCTTTTGGATGCTGCTCAGGTAAAATCTAAATTAATATTTTCTTCAAATACATTTTTGTGCATTGTTACTTCAAAAATATTTTACATTTTCAGACCTTTTATTTTGATGGATACGTCTTAGAAATATGGAATCAATTTGTATTTGCAGGTGCAAATCTACCAATTGTCACTTCTATAGTAAAATCTATTGCACAGAAGTTGAGAAAACATAATTTGGATATTATATTAGCAATACCACCATCCAAAGGGTACTCGATATTTTTTGTAATATATAAAGTATACAAAATTGATTTTACTATTGTTTTGTAATTTTCTAGTGCACAAATTGAATTGTTTTCAAAGCAACAGTTTGATGAACTAGCACCATATGTAAAAGCTTTTTCGCTTATGACTTATGATTATTCAACTATTCAAAAACCAGGCCCGAATAGTCCTCTTGATTGGGCCAAACAATGTGTAAAACTGTTAGTTCCAAAGAAAGATGATTCCAGACGATCTCAAATTTTACTAGGTATTAATTTCTATGGTTACAATTATACACCAGAGGGTGGTAGAGCGATTCTTGCATCTGAATATTTAGATATACTGAAATCATTCAAAGGAAAGATTCAATGGGACAACAAAAGCAAAGAACATTTCTTTGAATCAAAGTAAGATTATCTTTTTAATTGTCAAATATTACCTCAATTGCTCAAATTTATAATTTATATAAACATTTTTTTCAATTATTGTGCATCCCATATATTAATGTATCTATTTCAGGTTGCCTATAGGTAATGGTTACGTCTTTTATCCTACTTTATATTCAATTAAACATCGATTAGATCTCGCTAATGAACTAGGTACAGGAATTTCGATTTGGGAATTAGGTCAAGGATTGAATTACTTTTACGACTTGTTATAAACTGTTGCATATAATTTTTTATTTTATATAATTGAAGTTTTCTAATGTCTGTAGGCACATGGATATGCATGTACATACAAGTCTCAAAATACATTTAAACATTTATAAAGTTTATATTATTATTAAGCTTATATTATTATCACAATATCCTGCTTTAACCTCGTACAGTTTTGACGCGCGCATATATATTTTTATAGTACTTTGTGCTATAATCACCATTATTTGACGTTTCATTTGATTTACGGCCTTGGAACATCATCATGGCTTGTGGTCCTTTTACAATGTGATACATTAGCGCCCAACACATTTTTGATGGTAGTAACCTAATGGAACAAAATCTTTATATCTTTTGTTCTTACATATCTTTATATGTAAACAGCGTGTTTATCAATCACTCACCATTTAAGCGGCAGTAGATATTTTATACTATTAGGTAACACTACAGATATCTCGTTTGTTAGTATACCCGCGACTATCTCTTCCGCAACGTATTCTGGTTCGAGCATCGGCATTAATCTGTTTTGAATATTATTTTCTTATAAATTATTACAGATTATATTATACATAAATTAATAATTTGTTACAAACTACTTGTGTGATTTAAAAGGAGATTTCGGTCTAGACAGCTCGAAATTGATTACAAGCGATGCATTTCAAGCGATTTTCGTATATCAACGCCTCCTTTCTCTCTTTATCGTGTGTGTTGCAGCAGCTAGGGCAAACGCCGCCAAGCGTTAGAAGTGGCACTGTCCGACAAATAAAGTGGTTTTTTTTTAAATCTTCAAATATTAATAATCAGGATCCTTATAAAAAAAACCACTTCATTTATCAGATAGTGCCGCTCCTAACGCTCGACGACGGTGTTTCTAGCTGTTGCAGCGTAAAGAGAGAAAGGAAACGTTGACATATATACGCGCGAAAATCACTTGAAATGTGCAATTTAATTCCGAGCACTGATCTAGAAAATTCATTTAGGACTAGAGAAAAAAATCAATTTTTAAAAATTTTTTATATTTTTAATACGTGTAAAATATTGTTTAAAATTAATGTTCTAACTTTTTAATAACTTTTAATACAAGATAACTATTGGAAAGGTGTCTAAAGTAAATTGCTATTTGCAACGAATGGATAGAACAAAATGAATTAAATGTTATTTTGTAGAGAAAACCCGTCAATTTTATTTCGTATAGTATAAAAAAAGTATATAACAATTAAATAATTAAAATAAACATAAAAAAGTGCTACACAAATCTGTCTGAGCGCTCAGTGATAAATATTTTCAAAGTGTTATCTATCAAAAAACATTAATAAGCTGAAACAGAGTATTCGAAAATGCATTCAGGATATTTTCCCACTGATGTTAAAAAGTATTGTATTGTATTTAACAGTTTTAAAAAACTTTGAAGTTTTTGTGCCAATTTCCATAGACAACACTTTGAAAATATTTAGTGCCTAGACAGATTTGTAGTATTTTTTTGTTTTTTTTTTAATTAATGGGTTTCTTTTACAAAATAATGTTTAATTCATTTTGTTCTGTCCATTTTTTGAAAAGTTATAGTAATTTACTTTAGACTACTTTCTAATGGTCACTCTATATGTCTAGAATATTATGTAATCGTTGTTAAAACGATTTTTCAAGATTTATAAAGTTAAGGAAGTTACAGACTCTTATATACAGTCAGGTTTAAAGTGAAAAGTGAACTCTCAAAATATTAATAAATACAATGTTTGAAACCCTATGTTAATATATATACATTATTTTTTCAAAAACAAAATTCTAAAAAATATCTTGTTTTAAACTCTCTAGAATCCGGAATCTCCTCTTATGATGCAATATGTAAAATAATTTTTTTTACTTTTATATACCTGGGTTTTACTCCATGGAACATCCCTGTGTTTATGAGATACGGACAAACCAAAGTCATATTGATCCCATCGTATCCGTGCACCTTAAAATATATAGAATATAATCATTGATAACAGACTGATGGTACAAAGTTGATTAAGTGACCATTGTTTGCTTTATTCGATAAATCTTTATGTACTTTGAGTTCGGTAAAAAGACTTTCGTGGTATCCCACGGCAGCAAATTTCGTCGCAGAATAATCCGTGCAATTGTATGTTCCTAGGAGTCCAGCGACACTCGCAATCGTCACAATGTGACCGTGATTATTTTTCATCATATCTTTTAAGAATGACTTTGTAATCTATGATAGAGAGACAGATAAAATATTATCGAAACTTAATGTGATTTTCATGAAATGGAAAACTTGAAAAATAGTTTGACATCTGCTAATGTCAAGCACAGTTATTTACCCAATAATGTGACAGGATATTCACTTGAAATGTTCGCTCAATTTCACGATCGGGTAACTCCAGAAAAGTTTTTCCGTGTACATATCCGGCGTTATTCACTAACAAACTTACCTATGAAATAGGCAAGTTTTAATTTTTTTGCTTTTGATAAAAAATCCAGACAACATCCCAGATAGCATGTATGTCTTTAAGAGACATGCGTATTGCTGGGTATTTAACCTAATAGACAGTTCATAACTTAATGCCATCTCTTGTAATCATTTTAATTAAAAAAAAAAAAAAAAATACAGTGTCGAAATTATTCTGATTTGTTTTATCAATATTTCCTAATATTTCTTGCAGCATCTCTACGCGAAAGAAGTATGTAAAGAAGTACAAACAAGAAGTACAAGGTAATTATTGTTTTATTAATTAATTACTATTTTAATATATAAAATTTAATATATAAAATATATCAAACTATAAATGAAGATAATTTGAAATTATAATTTATACTCTATAATGTTCATGTATGAATACTTGAATGGAGCGATAAGTGGTCTTATTGGCGAGGGGGGTGAAGCTTGAGCGGCAGGAGGAAATCATGCAGCGGCCATATTGGTCGGTTAGAAAAATGGCAGTGTTATTAACCTAACCTAACCTAACCTAACCTAACCTAACTTTGGCTTGGCGCTTGCGTAATGAATAATATTCATTAATTCCGCGCTCGTTTAGTTACCCGGGCTAGCCGTAGCCATCTTGGTCGGCTAGTTTTCCTCTTGTCTCTCTGGCTTCAATCCCGCTCGCTATCGCTCCGTCCATATATTCTTACGTCCATGGTAATAATAATTTTTTAACCTTAATTTTATTCGGTTAATTGCAGTATATTAATTGTAAAACAAGGAGCTTCAAGAAATCCAGGCTGATGAGGTGATGGCCTGTGAAATTAGGCAATACATGTAAAATCAGGTTTATATTAGGCTCGAATTGAATATCTATACTTGAATGCTTTTGACTCTTCTTGACTCTTTTTCTTTACTAGTAGTAGTGGTAGTAATTTTATGGTTTCCCTAAAGGTTACAATCTTCTTTTTTACTAATAAAATTTAACAAATTATAGGTTTTCAATTATTTCGGAAAATATAGCAATGTTATTGAGAAAACTTGTGCTGCTGAAATCGCGTTGAACATTCAAGAACAAAAAGATCTAAGTTTTATCAAGCGGCTCCAGTTATCACTATAAATGAAGACAAATTTATTTGTACAAAAAATGAAACTAAAAATTTGGCATTATCTTGACGAACACAATAGTGGAAGGCTAAATGGTATCTTTTTACCGTTTTTTTTATAGCATTCAATATGTTATTGTTGTTTGTTAATGATACATTACTGATATCGTTACAGTTACCAAAACTGGCAATTCCGATGAAGATGAGTTGTATGAATCCGCTATTATCGATACAAACAACTGATGCCGTGTGAAAAGTTATGAAACACGCCTCCCAAGACAGAAATGCTCGATAAGAACAAGGTAATTTATTATTTGCGGAATTAAGATTCTACATATTTGTTATATTGAGATAGGTTATATATATACATATATATTTAAGACAAGTCTGAAAGACGTCAAAAATCTGGACACAAGACGTCTTTAAGATGTTTTTAAAACGTCATAATGTTGTTGGGAAAATACGAATATCTCAATTTTTTTATCATTTTGAGACAATTCAATAAAAAATTGATTTTTCTTTCTTTAGTTATGTTTCTTCTGTACAGACTCTGGGAAAGATTATGAAACACGGCAACAAAAAATTTGATTGCTCGACGAGGACAGAAGTAACACACGAGCAGCGAGCGGGCAAATAAAAGCGTGAAAAGCTTCACTTTTCGTTGCCGTGTAATACTCACCATTAGCACGTCTAAAGCATATATCTCACAGTCTTGCCGCGCGGATCATGCGTTTATTTGCCAATAAATGCTAAACTAAGAAAGAACGTTATTTTGCAATAAATGTTTTTTAATTATTATCTCAATAATTATTGCAAAAATTGCAAAACGGTGAAGGACTTTCTTGTTTATTGCGCTCTACTCGCTTGCAGAGATTTCGTAATCTTTCCCAAACATCCTGTAAAATTGATATACAAAAAGAATATCTTTTTGGAACTTTGTTTTGAAATCTGCTTATTTAAATAAATTGTAAGGTTGCTGAATATTATAAATTATTTATTTGCAACTCAGTTCGATTGTCATGCGCAATTTCGTACAATAAAGTTCACAAATCCAATAGAATTTAGCATTTATTGTATCCCAGACCTACTGTAATATCCGTCAATGGCAGATTTCTGAGATCATTTGGAGATGAAAATCTTAATATCAAAATGTCGAGGCTCCCAGATAGCAATGCCTGATGATCAGATCTCATCACGTCATGATCTTCAGATATTTACCGCAAAATTATGTATATCTTGTAATCATATTATGATGATACATATCATGAGCATAAGTTAATGTGCACATGAGGAAAAATGTGAGCTCACATATTGATGTTAAATTGTCAACTCATGATAATCACAAACTGATTGCAATAATTAATTATTATGTGTTATAAATTTTGTACATTCAATATTTTCGTCATTATTATAGAATTCAAGCGCATGATCTCCGTGACCCATTTTGCATGATAAAATGTGTTTTATGTGTTTACATTTTTAAATATGAAATAATATTTTAATAAATATTACAAAATTTTCAATGATTAATATATATTAATAATAATTAATAATATAAAAATACAAATAATATTAGGATATTGCTCTTCTTTATTAAAATCATGATCGTGTTGACATCAAGCTAATAGAGCAGGAGCCGGATCGAGTTGCTCAAAAGTTTATTTTATTAAAAATTGTTACATACGTTTCGGCCAAGGAATGTAGCCATCTTCAGTGTAAAATAGACAACAAAAATAATTTAGTACATAAAAAGAGAAGCGTTGATAAGAACAATTAATATACAAACGCTCTCCGAACGTGGTTATGATTTAAGAAACGCATCCTCTGATACTACGGTTCCTACATTTTTTGTAGTTAGTCTTATTATATACATATATGTGAAGCCATGGACCATCTTGAACGGCCCATCAAAATTGTGTAAAGAGAAATTAAAAGTGTGACATGTGTCCTCGGCAGTGAGTGGGACTCGACAGTTTTATAAATATTTCTGTCATAAACGTGCTTATATCGCTCTAATGCGCTTATATTGGGCTTGTTCGTTTTAGCTGCACTGGGGCAGCTTTGGGTCTGCTCTAAACAAGATAATACAGAACAAACTATTTATCTGTCCTGTATTATCCTGTGTAGAGCAGATCCAGAGCAGCCCCAGTGTAGCTAAAACGAACAAGCCCATTGAGTGTACAATTAAAATAAATAGAATATATTTAATATTCAATAACGAGAAGAAACATACTAATTTTATTATAACTTAACCTAATCTAACCTAAATATCAAAAAAACATAATCGTAAAATAAACTCATAAATCACAATAAATGTGAATATACATTGTCGTCATGTTCTGAACTACATATGACATACAAAATGCAATATTAGCTTGAACCTCATGCATGTACTAATATGTCATTCTTTTGTGCACTTTTATGGATATCATGACATGTCTGCGTTCTGAGCAGCATATGAGCCCGCATCTGTGTCTATTCTTGTCTTCATGTTTGTGAGATATATGAGTACAATATGATCTCAAAATGCATACATTTTCCTATCTGGGATTGTATAAATTTTAATTTTATCATACTTTCTGTCAAAAAAGCACATGATTCGAGACTTTAGTGTATGATTTGTCCAAAATAAATAAAATTAAATATCAAATTTTAATATTTCTGTTCTATGTATACTAAATTAGTTCTAATAATATTTATCATTTCCAGTCAATTTCATTCTGTTCTGTCTGTCCACTAACCACAGAATACTGAGAGTGTTGTCAACATGTCTTGCTACACTTCTGCACTTTAAGATCGAAAAAAATTTTTTCATAAATAATACTATTATTTTGATATACACTATCTTTATTCGTCTCCACAACACGTTATATATACATTTTACGA